CCCATGAAATTTTTTCCTTTCATGATTTTCTTCTAGTTAATGTTCTTTTCTTTTTCTGCTTAAAGAAGTCCCTTTAATGGCCAGTTTAGTGATGAACTCCTCTAACTTTTGTTTGTCTGGGAAGCTCTCTCTGAATAACCTTGCTGGGTGGAGTATTCTTGGTTGTAGGTTTTGGCACTTTTAATATGTTATGCCACTCCCTTTTGGTCTGCAGTGTTTCTGCAGTAAAATCAGCTGCTAGTCTAATGGACTTTCCCTTGTTCGTAACTGTTTGCTTTTTTCTTGCTGTTTTTAAGATTCTGCCTTTATCTTTAATTTTTGATATTTTAATTATTATGTCTTGGTGTGGACCTCCTTGGATTCATCTTCTTTGGGGCTCTTTGGATATCTCTTTCTTCCCCTATGTTAAAGAACGTTTTAGCTATTATATCTTCAAATAAGTTTTCTGCCCCTTTTTCTCTCTTCTTGTGGGACGCCTATGATGCAAATGTTAGTACACTTGATGTTGTCTCAGAGACCCCATAATCTACCCTCATTTTTTAAAATTCTTTTTTCTTTTTGCTGTTCAATAGATACTTTCCATTATCCTGTCTTTCAGATTGCTGATCTGTTCTGCATCTGCTGATCTACTGTTGATTTCTTCTCCTGTATTTTTCATTTCAGTTATATTCTTTAACTCTGGTTCTTTTTTATACTTTCTGTCTCTTTGTTGAAGTTCTGAGTTCATCTACTCTTCTCTCAAGTCTGGTGAGCATCTTTATGACTGTTATCAGATAGATTGCTTATCTCTGTTGTGTTTAGTTCTTTTTCTGAGGTTTTGTCTCATTCTTTTGTTTGGAGCATGTTTGTCTCCTCATTTTGTCTGACGTTCTGTGTTTGTTTTTATGAAGTAGGTGAAACAGCCACCTCTGCCTGGTGTAGGGACGTCTCTGCATAGACTGTGTGTGCCTGGCAGCTTTGGCTGGCTGACTGGAGCATTAGTGGGTGCCAGCTAGGGGTCCCGGGGTGTTCTCTGCAGGGAGCACCCTGGCAAGAAAAACTGAAGCTGGTACAGATGAGGGTGGGATGGGCGTCTGGGGCCACCTTGGTAGGTCAGCTGGCACTTGGGTGGGTGGGTTGTGGGGGAACACCTTGGGAATATGGCTAGAGCTGGTGTGGGCTAGGGTCCCAGAGCCCACTGAGGCAGTAGGCCAGCTAGAGCGTCTAGCCTCTGTTCCCATCTGTGCTACCAACGTGGAGGGGCTCACCAGCACTTCTGACCCCAGAGAGAATTCTAGCAATCCCCACCATTTGTCAGACACTCGGGAGTTAGTGAATGGGTTTCCTTCACCTTTAATCTCGTTGCCTTTTAAACCATAGCTTTTTTTCTGTGTGCCAGGGCAGGTGAATCTGCACAGGAGTCCCTCAGTGCAATCCCTTTCTGCTACAGTCCACAGTGTCAGAGGTGGGGTGCCTGTTGTCACTATGTTTCCATCTCTTTTGCCATTCTTTATGTGGTCCCTTTATCTTTTGTTGTGCAGAAGCTGTTTGATCAGGCACCAGTTCTTCAGGAGGATTTGCTTTCTATGTAGGTGTAGAATTGGTGTGACCATGGGAGGATTTGAGTTGAGTGTCTTCCTGTGTTGCCATCTTGGACTCTCCCCTAGTCTGCTCACATTTAGTGTAATTATTGATATGGTTGGATTTGGTTCTACCTTTCTGCTGTTTTCTGTTTGTCTCATGTAGTTTTCATTTTCCCATTCTCTCCTGCAAGTTATAAACCTTATGATATTGTTTGCTTTAGTCTTACATTTTAAAAATCTAGAAATAGCTTTTTATATTTACCTACCGGTTTCACATTTCAGTGATCTTTGTTCCTTCCTGTACATTTGAAAATTATCATCTGGTGTTATTTCCCTTTAACTTTCAGAATTTCTTCCTCATGCATTGAGGTGTGGGTCTGTTGGTGATGAATTCTCTTAGCTTTATGTTTGAAAATATCTTTATTTCACCTTCATTTTTGAAAGTTAGTTTTGCTGGAATTTAATTCAAGATTGATAGAATTTTTTTATTTCAGCACTTTAAAGAAGTGTCTTTTGGTGTCTATTATTTCTTTTTTTATATTAATTTTTTTGGGGGTCTGTTATTTCTGATCAAAAGTTACCTATCATTAGATATAAATCCTGTATGTGATATGTTTTTTTTTTTTTTCTGGCTGCTGTCAAGATTTTTTTCTCTTATCTTTGCATTTGCAGTTTGACTATGATTTGCCTAGGAGTGGGTTCTTACTATTCTGCTTTGCATTATTGAGCTTCCAGGGTCTGCAAATTGATGTGTTTTTTTCTCTAGTTTGGGGAAGTTTGGGCCATTATTTTTTCAAATATTCTTTGTGATCTATTGTCTCTTTTCAGTTACGTATGGTTAGACTATTGGATATTGTCCCACAGTTATCTAGGTAGGTAGGTTCTGTTTATTTTTTTCTTCTCCCCCCCCCCAATTGGTTAATTTCTTTTTATTTAACTTCAGCTACACCGACTTTTTATTTATTTACTTACTTTGCCTTCCTTCTCTATTAAAAAAGTGCATTGAATTTTTCATTTCATTTACTTTTCTTTCCAGCTTTAGAGTTTCCATTTGGTTCTTCTTTATAGTTTCTATTTTTCTGTTTCCCCGTAGTTTCTTTTTCTCCTATTTCCCCTTTGTCCATTCCTTATCTATATATTTTCTTTTAGCTCCTACACCTGCTGTAAAGTTCCTGTCTGCTGATTGCAACATCAGGTCATCTTGGCTTTGGTTTCTATAGACTGCTTTTTCCTTTGAGCGTGGGTCACATTTTCTTGTTTCTTCACATGTCTAGTGATTTTTGATTCAATAGTAGACATTGTAATGGTGCGTTATAGAGGTTATAGATAATGCTGCAGTCCTCCTGAAGGATTTTTGTGTCAGCAGGTAGTTAATGTGAGGAGACTCAAGTTCCAAATTAGCAGTGGGCTGAAATCTCCATTCAGTTCTTTTAGTTTTGCAGCTGCTGCTTTTTATCTTGGCCACCCTCTGCCCCCCCCCCCCCAATGTCTCCAGCCAAGAATTTGAACAGATTTTATTTGCAGATTTGGGTGTTTGCCAGCCCTGAACCCTGTCTACGGCCACCCTGAACCATACCTCATAGAGGTTGGTGAGTGCTCTTGGGCAAAACATGCAAATTATTAAATCTAACCAAGTGCAGTTTCTTTCCTTCAAAGGCCGACTCTTCTAGTTTCTGCCTGCTTTTGCCTTCACATAATTTTTAAGTATTTTGTTCACATTTTGTAATTGTATATAGAAGGGTGATGTGACTAAGCTATTTTGTCACAGTTGGGAGCCAGAAGCCAAGCACATACCCTTTTTTTTTTTTTTTTAACTTTTAATTTTTAATTTTATTTATTTATTTTTTTTCAACGTTTATTTATTTTTGGGACAGAGAGAGACAGAGCATGAACGGGGGAGGGGCAGAGAGAGAGGGAGACACAGAATCAGAAACAGGCTCCAGGCTCTGAGCCATCAGCCCAGAGCCTGATGGGAGCCTGATGCGGGGCTCGAACTCACGGACCGCGAGATCGTGACCTGGCTGAAGTCGGACGCTTAACCGACTGCGCCACCCAGGCGCCCCAAGCACATACCCTTTAAGACTTGCATTCATACTCCTCCTCAGCCTTGGGCTGATCCACTGTGGAGGGAACAGGGCTTTTTCCTCAGGGAGCAACAGTTTCAGACAAGGGATAGAGAGGGCACAGAGCACCATGGGAGTGTCTCAGTCAGCTTGGGGGTGCCGTACCAAAGTACCCCAGGTGGGGTTGCTTAAACAACAGAAATTTTTTTCTCAGCTCTAGACTGGAAATCAAAGATCAAAGAGTTGGCAAGTTTGGCTTCTCTTGAGGCCCCCTGCCTTGGCTTTCACATGGCCACCTTCTCCCTGTGCCCTCATGTGGCTTTTTCTCTGTGTGTCTACATCCCTGGTGTCTCCTCCTGTCTTATAAGGACACTAGTCTTGTTGGGTTAGGACCCATTATTATGCCCTCATTTAACCTTGATTACCTCCTTAAATTCCCCATTTCCAAGTACAGTCACACTGGAGATTAGGGCTTCAGTGTAAATTTGTCAGGGTGTGGGGTACACATAACTTAGTCCATAGTGGAGCAAAATCAAGGCTGGGCATGGTCTGAGAGCAGGCAGGAGAGACAGAGCTGTGTTGGATGGAAGGAATCGGAATACCTTTAATCAGTCATTAAGTCATTCACCATATAAATGCGGGATGCTGCTGTGTTCCAGGCACATAGTGAAGGGCTAATGGTTCAGTATGGATGGACACGACTGGCCCTGGCCCTGTTCTCCGGAGCTCACAGCCGAGGAGGATAAAAAGATGTGTAGACAGACTGTGATATTGCAGTGACGATAGAGGACGTACAGGGTTCCTTGGGAGAGTTGAGGAAGGGGTCCTCAAATAAAGCTATGGGTCAGGGAAGGCTTCCTTGAGAAAATGCCTTTCTAAACTGAGACCTGAAGTATGAGTCAGGAATCAGCTGTGGAAGAAAAGTGCTCCAGGCCAGGCACAGGGATTGGCAAATGTGAGGGGCCTTAGTGTTGGGGGGGGGGGGTCCTGCATGCTGGACAAACAGAAAGTCATTTAGCACAGCTGGAGCTGGGGACCCTGTGGGAGCCGGGTGATCAGGGATAAGCCCAGAAAAGTAGTTTGGGGCCAGCTTCCTTGTTGAATCTTAACTTTGTCCCTCCAGATGGGAGATTCTTAAAGAGAATAGCTGTGTCTCCTTCCTCTTGGGGTCCTCTTTCTGGCATAGGAAGTGCATAGTGAATGTCAATAGGTGCCACGTGTTATGATTTAGGGGTAGGAGGCAGAGGTGGGGAGGTTGGGTGTGTGGGTGACCTTGCCTCCTTGGTAAAGCAGGTCAAGGGCCTGGAGATTGCCAGCTGCCTCTGACCTCACCTGCCCCAGGGCTCCGGGTCTCATGTGTGGTGGTGTTTTTCAGCCCTGGACAGCGAATCTGCCTCTAGCAGCATCCGCTTCAGCAAGGCCTGCCTGAAGAACGTCTTCTCGGTCCTGCTCATCTTCATCTACCTGCTGCTCATGGCAGTGGCTGTCTTCCTGGTCTACCAGACCATCACAGACTTCCGCGAGAAACTCAAGCACCCTGTCATGTCAGTGTCTTACAAGGAGGTGGATCGCTATGACGCCCCAGGTAGAGCCTGTCCCGGAGGGGCATCAGGGCCCAGGTCTGGGGCATTGGCTTGCAAATGAGCCACCGTTGCACTCCCACACCGGGCTGGGCACCGCGGGTAGACAGAGGAGCCGAGCACAGTCAAGGTGAAGAGTACACACCCAGAGAGCTGCTGTCAGTCAGTACCCAGAGGAGCGTGTCGTGTGCCAGGGAGAGGGGTGCACGGAGCCTGGAGTGGTCACTGCGTAACTGGGGTGGGCACGGAATGCTTTGCACGGAGATAGGATTTGAGCTGGGCTTTGATAGACAAGAAGAGAGTTTTTCTGGAAGGGGGATTAGCAGGCGCAAAAGTAAGTGTAGGGAGGCAGAGGGCTCCTCTGGAGAGGATGTGTATAGCCCGGCTGGAGCCGGAGGCCAGTGATGAGGGGCAGGGGAGGTAAAGCCATTCGGAAGTGGTTAGGGCCCTGCCTGGGGAGCGGGCTCACTGCTGTTCCTGTTCCGGTGGGAGGCTGGGCCCTGAGGAGGCTGTCGTCTCTGCTATAGAAGGTAGTGTCTCCTTCAGGGCAAGCGGGGCTGTCTCTGGGCTCTGGAATCGTGGGAGTGAACCGGAGGCATGAGCTCTGTGGCCTCGGCTGTGCCCCGCTGGTGTGTGCACCTGCTGTGCTCTCAGGATGCCAGAGTCCCCCTCTGGATGGCCTGCCCACAGGGCACAGCCAGTCTCTGGTACCTTCCACCTGGGCTTCTTGGAAGTGTGCTGCTTGTAGCTTCTTCACCCATCTTTGCCTGTCTCGTGTTCGTCCCTCTTTGTGTGTCTGTTTTGGTCCCTGTATCTGTGGGCTGTACTTTCTGTTGCTGATCTCTGGGTCTCTCTGAGCTCTGCCGGGATCTGGTGCCACATGCTGCTCTCATGCTGCTCTGTTTTGTCTCCGTCAGTGGAGCCCCACGGTGAGGTGCTGGGGTTGGGGTGGGGGAGGGACCTTTGGGGTGTGAGTTGCACACCTGGAGGCCCCAGCCAGAGCAGGAGGTGAGAGGCACGGTGACAGGTGGGGAGTCCCGCAGCCGAGCCGAGGGCCTTGCAGTGAATCCGCCTGCGGATGGCGGCGCTGCCGGGCCCGGCCGCGGAGCCCCCGCGGGGTGTGCCGAGCAGGGCGGGGAAGTAGGGTGGGTTTCGGTGCAGGTGCCAGGGAGGCTGTGCCCCAGGCCAGGAGAGGGGCTTTCTGAGGGCAGCAGCCGTGGCTCTCCACCCTCCGTAACCCTCTTCTTCTCCCTCCTCTGCCATCACCCAGAGAGTCTTGAACTTGGGTTGTTGGTGGGTGTGAAAAACTGTGTGATGTGACTGTAGGGATACGGTGCGGGACTGTGACTTCTGACACTCCCATTTTCCTGTTCGTGCTCCCCTAGGTATTGCTCTGTACCCCGGTCAGGCCCAGTTGCTCAGCTGTAAGCACCACTACGAGGTCATCCCACCCCTGAGGAGCCCTGGCCAGCCTGGGGACATGAACTGCACCACCCAGAGGATCAACTACACAGACCCTTTCTCCAACCAGACCCTGGTAACTCCTGTCTCCCCACGCCAGGCCTGGGCAGCGCACGCTGTCCACCCCGCACCCCGCAGCCCCCGGTCTTCTTCCTGCCACGAGGCCACTCACACTCCCCTCGTGCAGGCCCTTGGCCCCCAGTGACCACGAGGCTGTCCCAAATCGGGTCATGGCCATGGCTGGCTGGCTGCATCAGGCAGGGCTGTGAGGGCGTCAGCATTCTCTGATCCTCAGGGATTCCTGACAGTGCGATCAGATCCTCTCCTTGCTGGAAGGATGCAGGGAGAAGCCGGTGGGACGTAGTCAAGTGAGTCCCATTACCTGACTGCCCAACACAACTGCCAGGGTGCATTTTGAAAATAAAGATTCCTAGGTTCCACGTGGGGCCAGTCACTCCTAGGGACAGGGCCTGGGAATCCATGTTTTGAAATAAATATGTAAAGAAGCTGGTCTGGGAACAAGGACCCCAGCACTGGCATCACTCACAGCTCAGCCCAGCAGGGTTGGGGGGAAGGTGAGGGTCAGTGGCACCTGCACAGGGTGTCAAGGCAGGGAAGGAATTTTACGTTTATGTACCTCTTTTTGCATCCCGTATCCTTGTTTCGGAAAGGATTGAATGGGACCGAGTAAAAGCTTTCTAGATCAAAGTGAGGAAGGAAGGGTTTTCAAGGTAGAGGAAATAGGTTGCGTTTGTGTCTGCACTGTTACAGTAGTTGGGTGTGTGTGGAGGGTCAGGTGCCCCCGGGAGCGGCGAGCGGCGGGAGGCGAAGCTGCGGATAGAAGTAATGGCCAGGTGAGGAGAGAGTGAGTGGTCTAACCCTGGAGCCTGACTTGCCCCCCTGGGTCTAAGGTAGAAGAGTCACACTGAGGTGGTTCTGATGACCTTTGTTCCAGGCCTCCTCCTGAGATCCTGCTCAAATGGTTCCCTCGCCTGCAAAAACTGGAACAAAATAAAGTATCCATAAAAGTCCCACAAACCCAGGAGGGGTATCACCAGTGGACTAGGCGTTTTAAGCCGGTGTAAAATAGAAGTTGGGTCAGGTGGGTGGAGCAAACAAACCAGAGAAAGGCCACGCCCTACAGCGGGCGCAGGAGAGGCTTCAGGAGAGGTGAAAGCCTTCCTTCTGGCTCCCAGCTCCCGAGTCAGCTCACCCAAAGGGCAGGGCAGCGGTCAGGACAGTCATCACGGGACAGTCATCATGGGACTGGGCAGCTGCTCTTCTACCCTCCCAGGGCGCGCAGAGCTGCTGGGGACGGCGTTTCCTTCCGGGTACGAGGCCCAGGGGCCATTCCTATGTACGCAAGCCCTGGGGAGGTTCCCTGCTTGGGCACTGGGGCAGCAGAGAGAAACGGAGCAGAACTGGAGACTGGGCCTCCACGGTGCAGGGGAGGGGACAAGTACCGGGAAGGAATCTTCACACAAGAGACACGCCAAGTACCTGGCCTGGCATTGCCTGCCTGCTGCCACAGAGCGTCAGCCCCAGGCAGGGGCGCCGTGGGAGAACCGGTGAGGACAGCCACACCCCAGCCCTAAGCTAGTCACCCTGGTCCTTCTCTCGGGAGTAGGAATGGACAGCGAAGGCTCGCTAGACATTTACGGGAAACCGACAGCCTAGGAGAGGACCAAGAGGAATAAAGGAGAATGGACTCCAGAACAGGGCAATGGATGCTAATTTAAAGGAAAGGGAGAATAATTTGTAAACATTTTACGGAAGAGCTGGATGTGCCGTAGAAACACCATGCGGATTCCCGGCCGCTTCTTGCCGGCCGCTCTGGGAAACATACCAGTCGGAGAGCCGGGCAGTGCACATGCGGGTCTGTGGGTGTCCTTCCTGTCGGTGCCCCCTGAGCGGACACTTCCCAGGAGCCCGTTGCCTTCATTCCCAAACCTGTGTGTGCTGCTTGTGCTTACTGCGGTAATTACGTAATTTAAATATTATAAACATCCATGAAATAAGAGCACAAAAGTTATTTTTTAATATATATAATTATTTTCAGTTTATTCATTTATTTTGAGAGAGAGTGCACGTGGGGAGGTAGGGACAGGGAGAGAAGGGAGAGGGAGTCGCAAGCAGGCTCCACACTGTCCAGCCTCAGAGTCCAGTGCAGGGCTCGAACTCAGGAACCGTGAAATCATGACCTGAGCTGAAACCAAGAATCCTGGCTTAACTGACTGAGCCAGTCAGGCGCCCCAGGGAGAGTTGTTTGTATGGAAACTGCAGTGAAGGCAGTTACTGCGGCCAGCTCTGGGTGAAGGTCAGTATTCTCCAGCAGTTCTAGATGTGGTTCCTTTGGAGAGGAGTTCTGCCCTCAGGCCCCACAGTGGCGGAGGAGGAGGAGGAGGAGGAGGAGGAGGGATGGGGGAGCGCAGGGGAGGGTAGGAGAGCCCCCCCCCCCCCACCGCCCCACATACATGTGCACTTAACGCTGGGAAGTAGGGCCTGGCAAGTGGCAGCAAGGACATTCCCTGAGTAGGGGGGAGGTGTGACTCATCCTATCTCGCACGCAGGGAGCACCTTGGTTAGATATCTGTGTCCTTGATCGCCCCTGGCCTTGGCCACTGGGAGACTTTGCCTGGGTAGAGATCCTCTGGCGCCATGCCTGGGGTGGACTTTAGAAAATATGCCCTCTGGTGCACCCGCTTCCTGCTGTGTAGGCTGACACCTTGCAGAATTGGTGTTTGGCTTGTGGGCTTGTCCTTTACTCTGCTCCAGCTCCGCCTCCTTTGTTTGTAGTAGGAGGTCCCAGAACCCTGTAGGCTGCTGGCTGTCTGCCTCCTGGCTAGTCTGTGTGAAAGTGACACTCGAGGGCGGGGGTTGGTGCTCATCAAATCTGATGCTTTGTCAGATTTCAGATTCTCATTGTTTTCTAGTGTCTCTTGTGCCCTCGGTTTAGCTAACTTTTTTTTTTTTTTAACATTTATTTATTTTTGATAGAGAAAGAGTGTGAGTGGGGGAGGGGCAGAGAGAGAGGGAGACACAGAATCCAAAGCAGCGTCCAGGCTCTGAGCTGTCCGCATAGAGCCGGACGCAGGGCTGTGAGATCATGACCTGAGCCAAGGTTGGAGGCTTAACTGACCGAGCCACCCAGGCACCCCTGGTTTAGCTAACTTTTACTGCACACTTTGCTCTGCCACAATTAGGGCCACCGTCTTTCCAGCTTGTAGGAATGCCAGCCATATTCCCACTGTCCAGATGTTAAGTCCTTGTCTCTTTTAGATGGTTCCCACAGTACTCCAGTTCCAGAAAATAACTTTGTGCATTGGGCAGAGAATAGACTAAACTGCTGTGGAAAAGCAAACACCCCAAACAGACCCAGTGGCTGAGACCAGAGAGAAGTCTGTTTCTTTGGAGTCGGTCGGGCGTGCAGGCGGTGGGCATGTTGGGCCATGCCGCCTCGCAGGGCAGGCAGCGATGGCTTCTGTCTGCCACTCCACCATCCCCGTGGTGCAGTCTTGGTCCTCGTGGTCAGCCATGGCTTGCCAGCACGTGTATGCGTTTTCCGCTCTGGGAGGGTGCGACGTGGAGGACAAGCGGTGCCCTGTTTCGGGGCACAGTGTGGAGTCTCATGAGTCACTTTGGTGCACATTCCAGGAACTTCATCACGTGGCCACGGCCGAGGCCAGAAATGAGGCTCCAGCAGGGTGACTGTGCTGCTAAAATGTGGGATTGGGGAAGCGGTTCTAGTTCTCCAGGAGGAAGAGGGTAGCGGGAACAGAGTGCATTCTCTGCTGCCACTCAACGTGTCATGGAAAGGTTGAAAATAAATAGATGGACGGAGGTTTCCTGGGAAAAATACAACAAGAGGCAGAACAAGTGAGTGGGCACATGAACGTCAGTCACACTGCTGTACCGGGTGCCAGGGGTTACGAGAGATGTTTAATTCAGATAAAAAACTATACTATTCTCCACTAAGAATTAAGAGTTACAGATCTTTGCAAAATAGCATTCCTTTTGTATGTTTTGGGCAAAACCTATTAGGAACAAAAAATTCCATTGCCTTGAAGTGTGACTAAATGCACACGTTCCTCTTTCGCATTCGCGGATCGAATAGACACAAAGTGGGATAAGGACTGAGCGGCACAATCGTTAATGTGCAGTGAGTGTGCCTGTAGCACCTGTGCCTGATGGTGCCCGCTCTTCGACATCTGGAGAGCATTTATGGAGGTTACTGCTGTACAGATGTTTATCTGTAATTCATTAATCTGTAAATCATTTATGGTAATTAATCTGTAAATCCAGCGTCATCACAGTTAAAAGTCCCAGTTGTTTTTTTCATGGAATTTAACAGTCCAGTTTTAAAGTACATGGAGAAGAACACGTGTGTGAAAGTCACCCGCTGGGGGGTGGTGGTAGGAGGCGCATCGCGGAGGGGACCTGCCCGGTCAGATGGCAGAACAGTGTAGACCCGCAGGGATAAACTCCGCATCTGTCCCTCGTCTGGGGAGCGGGAGGTAGGTCCCTCTTTCACACCAGATGCAAAGCTGAAAGCCACACACATAAAACGTCTGAATGTAAAAAAGTTTAAAAAGCACTATAAAGAAAAGGAGAACGTGGATGTAATTTTGGTTTTCCTTCGCAAGCAAAACCTGGAAGCCATAGAGAAAAAGATTTACAGATATCACTATCAAATTTAAAGCTTCATCTAACAAGTGACATAAGAAACAAAGCTAATGGCAAAGCGACAGACCGGAAGAAGACATTTGTCCGCATACTGGACGTACGTTAGCGTCCCTTCCGAGGGCGTCCGTAGCACAGGCAGCCAGTGAGGAAAATGAACGGAGGATGGTTGCTCCCAGCGCTGGGCCAGGCGCTAGCCCGAGAGTCGCGCTGTGGGGCTGAGCGGGAGCCAGCCGTGGGCAGGAGGGGTGGCCTGTGGTCAGCTGGGGGCCGCTGGGCAAGGAGTTTGCTGGTCACCCTCAGTGTCTCTGGGGCCACAGGCGGGGCTCCCACAGGGCTGATTCTGGCCCTTGTCTCTCTGCAGAAATCAGCCCTGATCGTGCAGGGGCCCCGGGAAGTGAAGAAGCGGGAGCTGGTCTTCCTCCAGTTCCGCCTGAATGAGAGTAGCGAGGACTTCAGTGCCATCGATTACCTCCTCTTCTCGTCTTTCCAGGAGTTCCTGCAAAGGTGGCGTTTCCAGTCCGTGCCGGGCTTGCCGCACGCGGTCTCCTGTCCGCTTGCTTATCCCGGGCCGGGGTGGGCAAGCGGGGCAGTGATGGGGGCCCAACTCCAGGGACTGACCTGGAGCCTAGCTGTCCAGGAAACCTGGCTTCACTAAGGAAGCGGGTCTGGTGTGGCGAGTGTTCGGACTTGGAGGCAGAGGCTTGGTCCTGCCCGTTCGGGGGGCTAAGGCGAGAGGAGCTCCCTTGGACCCTGTGAGCCCCCTGAGGGCAGTCCCTGCCTCTGCCGGGTCTCCCCTGCGGTGTCGTGGGCAGCATGTCCGACACGCGGTGTGTGTTTGCCACACGTTTTTAACACGGGGATGAAGCTTCCTGTCTGCGTGGGGGACACACTGGGACCCAGAGTGCCCACTGGGGTCGGTAGCCACCCCAGAGGAGAGGCGGCTCCCCCGGGCTGATGAGGCCATGGGCCACCTCCCTCCCCTACTCATGTACCACTGCTCCATCCTTCCTGATCTGGGGCTTGGAGCCTCTGCCGTGGCGTCTTCCACCCTGTCTGTCCCCCAGCATTCCCTCTGCCCTCCCTGCGTGGAGCCGGGGAGCTGTCCTCCCCTCACTGGGCCTCCCAGAGGGAGGCTGGCAGCCCAGCGAGGGCTCCTCAGGGCCACCGAGGGCCAGAGTTGTCATGCTGGTGGGCGCACCTGCCCGCTCAGGGCCAGTGCTCTTGGGAGCAGGGGTTGGGGGGAGCTGCCTCGTGGCGGGTGACAACTCTCCCTCTGTTCGGAAGCCTAGAAGCAGAGCTTGGAAAGGAAGCAGGAAGTGGGCCCTGTCCTCGTGGCGGTAGCCAAGAAACCGGCTTGGAGTAGGGGCTGGAGTTTGAGTCCAGCCGACTTTGAATCCTGCTGTTGGGCCTAACTTGGCCCCTTCTTCTCTGTCCGCCCAGCCCAGACAGGGTGGGCTTCATGCAGGCCTGCGAGAGCGCCTATTCCAGCTGGAAGTTCTCCGGCGGCTTCCGCACCTGGGTCAAGATGTCCCTGGTGAGGACCAAGGAGGAGGATGGGCGGGAAGCAGTAGAGTTCCGGCAGGAGGTAGGTGGTGCTGGGTGTGCTTCGCACCGTTGGCCACTTCCACCCTGGAGTCCGGGGTGGACAGAAGCTTCGCAGGAGAGAGGACCTTGGGGAAGTCGTATGGTGAGAAGGGACCCCGTGCCAGGGAGCGGCCATGTCCCGCAGGCTGGGCATGCTCTAGGCCTTTGCCTGGGCTGCAGCCGGTCCTCCCCAGACACGTGGGCCGAGCAGGGACACCTGCATTTCACAGAGCAGGTGGCGCGCCCAGCACAGTCCGTGTTCTTGGCCGTCAGAGGCCGCTGGCCTCGTGGAAGATAGAGGACTTGCAGGGAAGACAGACTAGATACAGTGGCCTCTGAAGTGTGGTGCACGTGAGGGTCCATTGAGATGCATGAGGAAAATATTAGCTTGCTTTTTGAACTAATTTCTTGATCTCATCCTTTTTCCGTTTTTGAGTATTTTGAACATTAGAAGAAGAGTAATGCTTACGTCACTTCTGAGGAAGTCATGTATGTGGGGTATGTACTCAGAAATGTGTTACTAATGGGAAGTGTGATTGAAAGCTTTCAGCCCACTAGCCTGGAACCAGGAGATGTGCCCGAGGTTTCTAGCTACGGTCTCGGCAGCGGATGGGGGAGGACCTTGGGAATGGGCCTGGCAGTGGGGATGGGGGCAGGGGACATTTTGGTTGCCGTGGCAGGGCTGTTTGCCAGTCATCACTGAAAGCGAGGCTGCACCCCTACCTTTGGAACTTTCACCTCCGCGGTGGCAGCCCCCTTACCCACACCTACACCCTGAGGCCACCGTCCTGTGTATCAGTGGCCGAGTGCCTACAGAGGTAGCGAGGGAGTCTGTTCTGAAAACTTGGCTCCTCCTTGGAGGTGTTTCAGCAGGCTGGACCCCGAGGGGCAGCACTGGGAAAGGCCTGGGTTGGAGTAGGACCTACTCCCAGCGACACGGGGCTGTCGTTGGGCAGAAGCCATGCGCTCGTCCGGGCCCACCCCTTCCCTGTGCCCTGGCCTCTCAGACTGGAGAGGAGGAGGGTTTGGGAGGGGCTTCAGGCCGGTTTTCTTCAAGAGGACAGGCTTTGTTCCTGCCTCAGGAGGTGGAACCTACCCCCCTAGCCCCCCGGCAGTGGGTCCCTAAAGTGTGCCCAGTTTGTAAGGTAACTGTCACGTCCTGGATTTTTGCTCCACGCTTTTCTCCGAGAACTCCCGAGATCTTCCTCCTCTGGCCCCACAGCAGCCGAGGAAAGGAGCCTCGATGTGTTCACCGTAGTCAGGTGCAGCCTGGGTCTGCCCGGCTCGCCCCACGGTTCAGAACCCGAAGACCTAAGTCCCAGTGAACATGTCCATTTTCCCATGTTTGTGCCGTTCGTGATTGTCTAAGTTGGAAGTGTTTCGGTGGGTGACATGAACCCTTTTGAACAAAGTTGAAAAATGTTTTTTATGTAGTGTTTTAAAGTTTAAAATACCCATGTCTTATCTCATTTGATCCTGACCACACCTCGGTGATGCAGGCATTTTGTCTGCTGCTCTGCAAGTGGCGAAGCGTGAGGCTCAGCTCGGTGGTGGAGCCGGCCCTGTGGCCGGGGCTGGGCTCTGCCTCTGGCACCGGCCGCTCCCCGTTATACCACGCAGATTAGCAGCTTCTAGTAATCGATAACCAGATCTTACCAGACACGCCTACTAAATACTTAACAGGGAGTGAGTGCTCAGCCGGGCGGATCTGTGAGGTTGTGCTTTGTCTGTGTAAGACCTGAAGGGTTGAAAGACTTAGCTTTTAAGATCAAGTATTTTGAAATTCGAGACTTTTATGGCTTATAATTGGGTCTTCACATGATACTTTGGATACGATTTAATCATGAGTCCAGATATCTCAGGACAGATTTTGGTGACAATCCGGGACACCCATTGTACATCCCAGATGCTGTTTTCCCAGAGAACTGGAAACCGAAGTCTTGGCCCTGGTTCCAGTTTCAGGATTTGTGTATGAGATTTTTGGCTTTCTCCCTCCAGAAGATGATGTGAAGAGAACCAAGGACCAAGATCCCCTAACTTCCTTCTCCTTTCCTGCAACCCAGGTGAGGCAGGGGCGCAGAGGTTGTAACGCTTTCTCCTCTCTCTGCCTAGACGAGTGTGGTTAACTACATTGACCAGAGGCCGGCCGCTGAAAAAAGCGCTCAGTTGTTTTTTGTGGTCTTTGAATGGAAAGATCCTTTCATCCAGAAAGTCCAAGATGTGAGTATTACTTAAGGTTACAAGAGCAAACACCCTGTGCTGAGGTATTTTGGCTCATCCTTCCAGGCTGTCCTCCTCTTCTCTCATGGCACAAATCATTTTTTCATTTATGACATTCATGTCCTGTGTTTGTGTTTAATTGATCTTACCATCACTAGACAGTTGTCCCCGTGAACGTGGGGGCTTCCTCTTTTGTCTGCCATTATTTATGTGCTGCCTGGCAGAGTGCTTAGCACAGAGTACTTGCTTAGTAGTATTGAGTGGAGCGAGTAGAAAACCTGGGTTGCGTTAAGCTAATGTCTAGATTATTGCTACTGGAAGCCATTCTTTTTTTTTTTTTTTTTTGGAAGCCATTCTTTTTTCATAGGTCTCTGTTGGATAATAATCATTATTTGTCAGAGCAGAAACCTACAAGTAAAAATGAACACTGCCTCAATTAATGCCAGATTCCCAGACGCAGTCTCGGAAGAGGAGGGATGATAAGACAGCTTTGCTAGAGGAACGTTCTGGGGAGACGCCATCCCCCGGAGGCAGTCCCAGATCTGACACTGATTGGTGTTTAGGTAATCCCAGAACGTGCTGATGTGGTCGGAGCTCAGGGGAAGCGCCTTGCACGGCTAGGCCCATGTGGTGGAGGGTCTGTGTGACCTGTAGTGCTCCCTGATCATGCACCTCCACCACGAACCGGGGACGGGAAGGGCCACTTATGCAGGGGCGCGTGCGGCTCGCTGAATCCGGATCTGGGCGGAAGAGTGAACGTCTTCAGTTCTACACGTGAAGTGTGTGAGCACACGTTTTTCACTTACGCCATTCGGTAGGAAGTGCCCATTGAGACGAGTAAAGCCCACGCTCGAGGCCTGCTTTTCTCGTGTCATCACTCCGCTTCATCATGGTCCTGAACAGTGGTGCCGGTGTAACCGTTTTGTATCTGTGGACCCTGAAGCTCAGATTGTCCAAGGTCACCCTGCTGAACAGACTTGAAAGTGCTGTGGGTACCATGCTGGGGACTCAGAAAGAAATCCAAGCTGTGACCTTGACCTAGAAGCGTTTAACATTTAGTGAGTGTAGTCGATAGCTGTGAAGTGACTCATTCCAGACAGTAAGTAGCTGCCAAAGGGCTTTGTGGGATAAATGTTTCTGCCAGAGGGTTTCTCGGCTTAGTGGTCAGAGAGGGCTCCACGGAGCCGTGAAGGATCAGTGAACTCGAGTAAGAGGAAAGCGTCGCAGGCTGGGGGGCTCAGGGCATGGCCTGAAGGCAGACGTCCGGCAGGTGACACTGTCACTGGACTGCGTGGAGGGCAAGTGCGAGTAAGTGTGAGACGGGAAGAAAACGAGTAACTGACCTTCTGGAGTAGGTAGTTCTGGGGAAATTTGTCTCCAAGCCACTTCTGGGGATTAGGCTAGAAATTTAAACCTCAGTACTGAATACCTGATTTGTGCAGAACTTTTTTGAGAAAGTTTATTTTTTTCAGGATCACTTTATAGTAGGAAGGGATTAGTATTTTTCTTCTCAGACTTGAGCTGCGCACATTAAAGGTCTAGTCAGAATGAAGTACAGAGTCATGGCCGTTTTAGAACCCAAGTGTTTTTCTTGTCGCTCCAATAATCTGAGGCAGGAGGATCTTGACAGTAACACTCGTGTGACCTAGGAATCCAAGTTGAGGCAAACTGATACACTTGTGTTCGTTTGTTTTCCAGATAATCACCGCCAATCCTTGGAACACAATCGCCCTGCTCTGTGGGGCCTTCTTGGCGTTATTTAAAGCAGCTGAGTTTGCCAAGCTGAGTGTGAAATGGATGATCAAGATCAGAAAGAGGTACCTTAAAAAAAGAGGTCAGGCGGCGAACCACATAAGCTGAAGTGGCCTTGTGTTCGCAGAACTGCTCACAGCAACGGAAGTTCTGGTCACTTCCGTGCGGAGAAACGAGCCGCCGGCAATCCTGTGCTCACTTGAAACGGGCCTTGCTGGGAGGAACAGCCTGCCAGCCTGCAGCTTCTAACCTGGCCCCAAAAGAGGATGTTTAAAGCCTGATGGAACAGATCCAGTGGGTAACCTAAAACTTATTTAAGTATTTAAATTATTCATGAACAGATGACGAGGGATTGTGGAAGATGGAATTAGATCTGTATCAACTTTTCTGAAGGTTTGTGGAAGTTGCCTTTCTTCTTACTTGGTTTGGTGCACAGTTAAGCTCTAATGGGGTAATGAAGGCTCTACTTTTTACTCTAGCTTCCCCTTCCGCCCTAGTTTTCTAAAGTGGACAGAAGAGTGTGATTTTCTTTTTTCCCCAAATCCTGACTCTGCAGATGTACAGGTTATGCTTTGAAACCTCTGCACCCTGTGCCCAAAGACAAGAACCCTGTCGTCTCTGACGTCATCTGCCGTATCTCTTGGCACGCTTTCTCATTTGTTAAATAAGAAGTGGGACTTTTTTGTAAAGCTACTAGAAACCAGGAATAAGATTTCTTGTGGACTGACTAGCCACCTACCTGTCTGGCTAGAATATTTGTTGATGGAGGTGTAAGAGTGTAGAGTCATTAACATGCAAAAGCCCTGGGCCATATGTACATAGGAGGTGCCTACTCAATGTATCTTGATGATTTTATTAACAGGTAAATAAAAGTTAGGTTAATGCAAAAGGAGTCAGTGTGCCAGTATGAATACCTGCTAAATCAGTAGGCACCGGTACACTTTCATTCTGTGACCAAATGGCAGCATGAGCTTGGACTCCCAAGATGGAGGGATCTGGACTCCCGAGGTAGGTCATGAATGCGTCCAAGGAAGGGTCGGGGTGGGGTGTGGCGATGGATGGCAGTCAGGAAGAGTGGCAGAGCTAGCCGCGTAAGTGGGGTTCTCTTCCTGTCCTATAAAAGCAGCTGAGAAAGGGGTACTCAGTGTGACCCCCCAAAGCCTTCAGCTTAGCTTTTGACAAAGATGAGTACTGAAATGTTTTTCACATCGGCCGATTTAAGGTTTTGAGAATTGTCTACAGAGTTTCAAATTACTTACATGCCCCTTTGCTCCAAAGAGGACTTGGTAACACTGGATTTCGTAACCTGGCTTTAGGTAGTTTAAAGAGGAATTATTAAAGGTAAACTTGTGCCAAGAAATATTCCCTGGTACTTTGCGATGCCAGAGAAGCATGCACATTCATGCTAGCCTAGATCTCGTCTCTGTGCAGTCTTTTTGTGAGGCAAATGCGAAGCCAGGCAGAGAAGCTTACGTTAACAGCGTTGGAAAACGTGTGTGTGTGTTCTGTCTCTAAAGATGACACCACTTTAGTAATACTTCAGTATCTAATAAAATTAGCTCAAATAAACACACTAAAACTGCATTTCCTGTATTGTGGAAAGTTGAGAGACCTCTTAAATGCGCTTTAGGGTAAGTAGATAATTAGGAAGTATTTTTAGCTTGCCAAAGAAAAAAACTTTCATAACTACAGCTGCAGCCTGTCAGAATCCACTGTGGCTGCTCTTCGGTGAAAGAAACGTGTAAGTCTTCCACTGCGTAGACATTTAGACCTAGCCTTCACTTTCTGGAAAAGGCAGGGGCTTGCCGTTGACTCTGTGTCCTGTAGTAGGCTCACCCTGGTCTTCCAGGGCTGCCCCCAGCCGTAACACTGGCTGGCCTTGGGTTAGTGTGGCCAATTCGGCCAGAGCCCCTGGACCTGGATGGCTGGGGGAAGGTGGCTACTGGAGATCATAAACTGTGAGCCATGCACCCAAAGGAAGAGTTTCTCCTGGGGCCACAGCGAGTGAAAAGGGATGCTTGTACAGTGACCTAGGAATAGCACGCAAAACGCTAGACTTCTTCACGAATGCAAAGGAGTGGAGAGTTTGTAATGTCTGATGTCTGACTCTGCCACCGTTTCCCTGAACCACTCCTCACCCAAAGAAGTAGTATTTATTATAAACTTTGAGATTTTTTAATTAAAACCGACATTTAAGGTAATTTGAGCCTGTTCTCTGAACATAGAAGGACATGAAGATGAAAGGCTAGCCTAGAACTTAGAATTTTAGGCAGACATTGTATAAAGAGGCAGCAGACTGCTTCTGGATGTCTCAGAGCTGGAAAAAGCAAAGACCACATCGGCAAAATACAAACATAGACTTTATTAAATGCTGCTCAATCCCCCAATGAAGATCTTTCGTTACAAAACAGTTTTCCACACAACTGCAAGTAAAGAGATTGGAATGGTACTCATAACAAAAGAGGTGAGAAATACTTGACCAAGTGAAAACATACAAGACCTCTCTCTAGTCAGCTTGCTCAGAACTCTACAGGGGCAGCCTAGTGCGTTTCCTTTAAATAAAGCCAGCCAGTGACCGTGAGTGCTCTGTGTCACCACACTGGGGGACTCAAAGCCTCCTTCCCTGGGTCAGCAGGGGCTGGAAGGAAGGGCAGGTTCTGAGGACTGGAAAGGCCCTGCCTTCAGCCTTTGGGAGGAAGAGGAGGAATGAACTGAGAGGCAGGCTCAGCGTTTACCTGTGCTGCCTCCACAAATCTGGGCTCATTACTGTGGGGAGTTGCAGATGAAGAGGGATATTCTTGAGGAATAATCTAAAGAATTTGGTTTACTTTCCCAGCTTTTATTTATATTTTGTGCTTTAAAAAGCCTGGAGATTTAAGTTTCTGCTCAAATTCCAGAGTGCAGCAACTCTAGTGAAGGAAGGCTTAGGGCAGGTAACTCCCCCCCATCATAGTTCTTTTTCCTAGGATGTAACTAAGGTCTGCAGCAATGTGAAAAGCACATTATAAAAGGGAAAAATATACAGAGCAGACTACTGTATCTATGTGCAACACAATCAAAAAAAGAATTCAAGTCATAATTCTTACCACTCCCATAATTAGCTCACTCATATCATAGATGATGAAGTTCATTCATTTCTGTGAAACTGTAGAAGTGACACAATCCATGATTAGACAAGGTTACAATATACTGTGGCCATGATACAGCACAGGGCTATGTTTAGTCCATATTTTTCATTTACAGTTGCCAGAAAAAAAGTTGGCCTTTTAATTATATTATACTGAGAGGTTTGTCTCATAATTTTTACATATTTCAAAAAAGTGTACAAAACTGCCTATCCAACAGGTGGTGGCTTTTTTTATTCGTCACTTGTATTGCTGAGAATACTGTGCATGTTGTAAGCACTGTTCTGCTTTTCCAAAGCTTTCTTTAGCTTTAGCTCCTCTAATTTTTTCCATAACTCTTCACGTTCCAATTCCTTCTTTTTCTCTCTGTAGAGAAACCAAAATTTTTGTAGTCAGAAACCTTTAATTTAGGGCCTGAAGAAAGTTGCTGTTTGGCAGTCTGCTGGAGAACGCACTGTTCACCCCCATTTCATTTAACTCCCTCTCCTAAAGCATCTGAGCTCCAATTACTTGGACACCTGATTACTCTTGTCACTCTCCTGTACCAACGCAGAGTGACTCCTTGCTTTCTCTCTGCTCCATGTTCTCACTTCCATGACCACTTTGTCGTTCATGCTTTATTACGTTCCCTTTCTCACCTAAACCTCTTGCAGTCACCCTGGTTGGCAGAGTCACCCTTTTACAGAGACAGAAGGGCTGGCTCTCAGGCTGGAGCCACTTCCAGGTAGAATCACCTCTCTAGCCACTAACCAGTCTCTTACTCTGTCACCTCTTACGTATCATGAGAACTTTAAAGTCTGAATCATCTCTGGAAAAACAAAACTCAAAATATTTTATATGTTTCCACTATTTGATTTCAGTTCTAAGGGAAACAACTGTGAATAACTGAGACCAAACTGTTCTGAAGGACTATATGAACATGTGAAAAAACCATAGGCTGGGCGCCTGGGTGGCTGAGTTGGTTGAGTGTCCCGTCGGACTCTCGATACCAGCTCAGGTCATGATCCCGGGGTCGTGAGATCAAGCCCAGCATCAGGCTTTGCGCTGAGCATGGAGCCTTTTTAAGATTCTCTTTCTCTAAAAAAACAAAACACCCCATGGACTTACAGTTCCACAGTTATATGCCATTATCATTTTGCAGATAACGATTAGGCGTATGAAATATACAAGTTATCTTTTTGTTATAAAAATCATCTTTTTCTTCCCACTGCTGCCCAGTGTTTAATTTCTGCCATTAAAGGCGTGGTTTTTTAGGATGCCCTTGAAGAGGAGCCATTCTTGTTCTACTTGCCACAGGAAAACCCCAATTAGGAACTTTTCAGTCAAAAGAGATCAGCTTTTCCAAACAAACAATAGGTAATAAACTTCTTAAAAGTAAATGGTAGCTATTATTCTCAAATGATGCGTGGGCGCAGGTATACTGACTGGTTACTACCCACCTGATGTCTGAAATGAATGAGAAGTGATTTTTACAAGATCATTTTATATATGAAGTTCTTGAAAAGAGGTGATCACTAAGGCAGGTGTGTAAATGCTGGTATGTGCTATCATCCCTATATATTGTTGCAAGGAACAAAATATTAATAGTACTGAGCCAGAGACCTATGTGAGCTCCCTCTGACTGAAAAACAAAAAACCCAAAACACCAATTTTAAGATACCACTTCGTTAAAATGTGCGGCTTAAAACTACCAAACTTGTGCAAGGAGCAGCTGCAGAGTAAAGCAGACAAAGACGATTTTCATAGATACATAAGAAATCAAATTTTATAAATTTGGCAGAGAGTGTATTTCACAATGCAGATGCTGCTAGACTGATAAAGTCTAAGCCTCAGAGTGAGATAAAGAGAGGATTTATAATCCACATTAAAATCATAATCTAACCAGTAGGGGAAGTTTTTTATCTGGAAATGACTTAAAAGAGTTTTAAGCATATAGTTTGAAATTCTCTAATGTGACGGACTTAAATGCTAATTTTAACTTAGGCAAGATACCTTATTGAACTGAAATCACCTTCAACCAACCTAAAGTGTATGGATAACTTGGTAATTAAAAATACCAAATACCTTTGTCTTTCAGCTTTGTAGGAGCTAGTAAGGTCGTCAAAAAGCTTGCCATTCATTTCCATTAGGGTTTTCAGCACGTTGTATACCAGTGCTACAATGGTCCTAAAATGAAAGTAAGCAGTGCTGGGTTATAGGAAATACAACATGACTATCATCTCTAAATAGTGGCTGATTCACTTAATCCATTTTAGAGATGACAGACAAAGGTGCAAGAGGTTTAGGAATTTGCTCAAGGTCACACAGCCAGGGGTGATAGAGGTGGTCTGATTCCAAAATTTCACGTCTTTCTTATCATGCTTAAACTCTTAAAGCGTTATGGTTATCTTCATGGCTGCTCTCCAGTCTCAAGCTAACAGTGTTAAAAGATGAAAAAAATCACCTGCCATAACTTGTAAACAAAACAAAAAACCCACAAAGGAGGATAAGGGTGTTACAGAAGTTGGAATATATGCAGTCTAAACATCTACACCTTAAGCACCTCCGCTTCTCCCTGGGATAGCACCGAGCTTCGAGGTCTGTGCATCCTTGGCGGATGTTCGGTCGGTCTCCCCCATGGGTTTGACCACACACTGGTGCAGAATGTCACACCAGGTCGTCCTACCTTCAGGGGGGTTTGCAATTTTAAACTGAAATTAACAACATACATGTATTTACAGCTCTGTGAAACTATATGTATATCGAGTGCACAATGGAATGAAACTGA